TCTTATGGGAGAGATCAGCCTAAGCCATCACTTGGCCAGGTACTCCTAGCCACGGCAATGCCAACATGATTCCTGGTTGCATATGCACAGTGTTGGGGGAGGCCCAGGCTGGACCAAAGGCCTGCAATCTGTGGAGAGAGGGCAAAAAATGCGGGGAAAACCTGAGCAGCTGCCTGTTGGAATTTTCCCAAATTGCTGAGCTCACTGGGAAAGGTCTTAGAGAAGTCTGAGGGATGGGAAACTGCTCTGCCATACTTCTGCCCTTGCTTGGATTGGCCCCTTGTTTGCATTGGAGGTCCTTATCCCATCTTGAGGGGAGGGTGTCTCACCATCAGCTCCAATCTTCTCACTCTCTGTAGGCCTAGAAGCTTCTGAGTCTGTATGGGGCAGGCCACCCTCTATAGCTCCTCATGGTTGTTTGGACCCAGTAGAACTCTAGTGGGATTTTCCAACACATTGGGGGGGGCAGCTGCAGAATGACCCAGAACCCCAGGTCTGCCAGCACCGACGGCTGCCCATGCCACTGTAGATGCATCCATTGTTGGCCAGTCTCTGATGCCTGAAGCCTCAGGTGGGAGAGGCCTGTCTCAGCTGTCTCCCTGTTCTTTCTAAGACCAGCAATGAGGTACTTCCTCAAGACTTTTCCATCTTCCATTACCAACAAGGTAAGAGAGTCTAAGAGAGCGGGTCTAGGCTCAGGCCCAGTAGATCTCTGCCAGGCTTTTCCTGTGCAGTCAGTGGCCGGCTGTGGAACAACCCAACGCTTCAGGTCTGGCAGCACTGATGGCAACTTGTGCTGCTATAGAGGTTTCTGTCGTTGGCCCGTCTCTGATGCCTGGAACCTCAGGTGGGAGAGACTTGTCTTAACAGTTTCTTTTTTCTTTTTCAAGACTGGTGATGTGGCCTATTTTCATGGCTTTTCCTCCTTCCATACTAATAAGGCAAGAGTCTCCAAGAAAGCAGAGCTAGGCTCAAGTGTCCTGCTGGAGTGGCATGGCTATCGAAACTAGAAGGTCAGCCTTGCTCTGAGACAGTATAGGTCCTGTCTGCACTAACAGCTCACTGTAGCTGACTCTGGAGAATCCGAGCGGCCAAGCCTTTAAGGTTAACTTCATATTTTGCCCTCTGCACTATTCTTTTTTCTCCAGCTTATTTTTGTGTATGCATTCTGCATCTACAAACAAAACCCACATTTTTTTGCTTAATTGTGGTTAACATCACTTGTGACCTGTAGAGGGGGCGTCCAATTGCCACCGACTTGGCCAAGTGCAAAAGCAAGGGATGGGGCACACTGCAACCTCCCCTTTCTCTCCTCTCCTCCCTGCTCTCCCACTCCCTTTGGCTAGCTGCCGCTGGACTACTCCAGGCATCCACGACCCATAGAGGGATGCCAACTTGGTGGCCGGCTGGCTGGCTGGTCTGTCAGGAGGGGTGGTGTCCCAAGGATTTTAATGTTTGGGTTTGTTTGTTTTTTAAAGTGCCTTCAGGACTCTCCCACTGTTTCCAGTGGGCAATTCTGTCATTCCTTTTAATACATCCCCCTCCAAGCTGTGTGTAGATTGGCTTTGGGGAAGGGAAAAGAGGCAGAAGTGTGTGAAATGCCCCCTCTGCAAGTTAGACGTGTCAAACTCCCAGAAGACCTTCCCAGACTGCCCCTCTACCAGCCCTCCAAGTTGTGTGCAAAAAATTGGCTTTGGGGGAGGTGGTCCAGTGTCCAAAGGATAGAGGAGTTTGTCAAATGCCCCTTCCCCCTGCAAGCTAGAAGCATCAAAATAGAAGCGGAAATAGGGACCGGGAATGGGAATGGGCAGAGATGACTAAAGCTGTGTCAAGTAGTCTGCTTATTATTCCCTCTGACTCGGAAGCTGAAGAGCAAACAGCTCCGGGGAGAGACCACTTTCAGATACCCCACGGCAACACCATGATGACTGCGAAGACACCTCTGAACATCCATAAAACAACACAGAATCTGGAAAGAGCTGCGGTGCAGGAGGAAAGTGAGAGCGGGATGCAATATGGAGGGAGATTCTGCTCCTGATGTGGCTGTGGACAGAATCAGCCACAGTCTACACAAATGTGCAGAGTGAGAGTGCCTGGAGTGAGAGGACGTGTGACCAGCTTGGATGACTTCCCCCACGGAAGAAGAACTGGGTGTGTGTTTTTATTGTGACAGTTCGCCTTTAAAGAATGAGAATGTATTTTTAGAACTGGAAAACTTCTGATTAAAAAAAACATGAAGGGAGGCATTAACTCCAATAATGATCCTGATCCAGACTCTACACACCTGCACTGAGGACTAGATGGCCCTTCCAACTCTGTGATTCTATGATTTGCTCAAATCTTTCCATTCAATATTCCCAACACTTTCACTCCTATTGCGCATTTTAAAAATTCCTTTAGCTACTAAAACTGTTAGCATGTCAATATGCTTAAAAGAGGCAAGATATACCTTTAAATAAGTTTTTGTTTATTTAAAGAAGATATTCATTAGAAGTATGGAAAAGTTTTGGAAGCAATGAAATGTTTTTATTCAGCTGATAATTCATAGATGCTAAACTGCCCGGGCACATACGTGCTTGACAAGAAGGTAGCAGAAAATTTCACTGGTTAAGATGAAAACGTTGATTTCTCCTTCATTTCTTTAAAGCCCCACATGAGAACATGGAGCAAGAAAGGCTGGCTAGGACTTTGCCTGAGACCTTGGAAAGCTAGTGCTACTCAGAATAGACGGTACTAGACCAGACTGATCAAAGCTCTGACTCAATATTCGTATATAAAATTAGTAATATTGTGAGATGCTTTGATCTATGGTAATGAGGTATCTGGCTTCTTAATAACTGGCAGGAAGCAAGTGTCACTAGATAGCAGCCAAGTCACTCAGTTCACAAATTAGAATCAGTCCTATTGTATTAAAGTAAAAGCCACATCTCATGAACAGTAGCATCACACGTTGCAGGTCTGGCTGAGGTGGATCTCTTTCAGATATTAATTGTAGGGATGCATGAATGGAAGTTCCCTCACAGTTAAAAACAAACAAACCCCTAAATGTGGCATATAAATGATACAAAATAACCCCAACAAACAAATACAGTTAATTTCTGTCATTAGAATTGCCACCAGAAGTTACAAAGCATTCACTAGCCAGGAAGATTAATTATGGCATACTCAACTGTATCCTTCCTCTCAACACCCCAAACTATCCTGCATGCCCCAAAATAGCATTTTATTCACCTCCCAAGTCCCCATTTATTAACACAGCTGCCTCCACTCTTAACCAGGGAGACGCACAAGTCTGTGGTTGCTGTACACTAAACAGAAACACCTGCGTCCCTCTTACTCCCCCCCACTAATATACCAAACATATATATTTATATATGTAGTTATTATAACTTTTCTTCGAAGCACTAAGTCTCATGTTCTGAAAATGAAAATAAATCCCTCTCTTACATTCTCTCCCACAGCCCCACGTGGCTCTGACAGACAAGCACAGGCAGTGCAGAAAATATTTCACTTCATCTTATTTTAAAAGAAAAGGAGAACAAGAGAGAGAATTCTTGTGGCATTCTAGAGGTCCCAGGACACTCATTCCAAATGCCTGAGTTGAGCCCTGAGTGACTTGGAGTCTAAAAAAGAGCGTGGATTTCTAGGCAGCTGTCCAAATTCAACACAGACAGTATTCTATCTGTACTTTTTTAGCAGCCAAGAAAGAAATAGGGGTAGTGGGGAGTTTAGGAGTGGGAGAGGTTGCTAAGCTGGGAGAGATGGAGCAAGCCATGAAAAAAATCAGTCTGGGTACTCCTCCAGAAGGATGTGCTATGGATGCACTACGGAAAACTAGAAAAAGAGGGTGATTGTATTCAAACATGGGTATTCAATGAATGAGCTGTGTGTCAATGCTGGACCTTTCTTAGAAATTGCTCTTGGAATTCTTATAGCCTGAGGGCTGGTTCAGATATTACTGTCATCATTTGACCACTGCCACAAAGCAATTCCTCCCAGAAGCACCAGAATCTAAAAGTTGTTAAGTCTGCTTAAATACAGGCCACATCTGAACACAACACACTGGTGTGGGATTTCAACATGTTCAGATGATATTAAGATTTCAAATGTTATTTTCCATGTAGGAGTGCTACCATGAGGAAAAATCTTTTTGACGGTGGAGGTATGCAAAGAAAAGTCTGAACTGGTAAAAGTCTATGGTGTGCCATGGTGGCATAAGCTAACATAATATCCAATAATTGATGAAAAGCTGTAAAGACAGGGCTTACTCAGCCCTTTCATCACTCCCACACCCTGATTGCAATTTTTCACCCTTTTTATTCTTGGTTTAAGATGTAACATAGTATATATACCTTCTGTCTAGCATTATATAGCAAATGTAGGCAATGGCTGAGCATAGTAATGTATCATTAATATTTGCTCCATTTAAGCCTGTTGGTACTTCTATGCTTTATTCAAAAATATGAATGCTGAAGGTATACTGGTGTTACACTCGGTGTTCCCTGCAACACACACACAAAATATGGACTACATTACTTTGTCTTGAAGCACCAATGTCCACATGTCTAATAAACCTTATAGAACTACAGGTTTTCTACAGGGATCACTACTCATGCATATATTATAGAGCCACATAAGGTGCTGATATAACAGTATAATGATAAGAGAGCTATTAAGCCTTCATATTTTTGTTCCCTAACCACATTAACAGTAACAAGATTGTCTCAAGCACTGAACGCACACATAAATAAACGTGAAGCTGCCATATAAAGAACATGACCCTCGGTTCATCAAAGTCAGATCTCCTGGGTCTCAGGTAGAGGCCTTTAGACTGCCAACAGATCTCCTGGGTCTCAGGTAGAGGCCTTTCACAACTACCTGATCTTTTTTAAAGCTGGAGTTGCTGGAGATTGAACTTAGGCCCTTCTGCATGCCAAGCACGGATGCTCTACCACTGAACCACAGTCCACTCCAATCAGCAGCACAAGTCAGACTCTTACCTCACTCAGCTTGGCCCAGTTGAAAGACTTCAGTGGATGAGATGGCTGCGGGATTGATTTCTTTTTCAGACTTGTTCCACTGGTGCTGAATGTGGTGGTGGAAACTGGAGGCATTCCCATGTTGAAAAATGGGGGCGCTCCAGGAGGAGGAGGGGGGCCTCCTGGAGGAGGTGGTGGAGCTGGTGGAGGGGGACTAGAGAATGGAAGAGGTGGTGGTGGAGGAGGCAAAGTCTCTGATGATGGTATATCTGAAGAAAGAGCAAACGGGCCACCTGGAGGCAGTTGAGGAGTGGATGGGAAGGAAATGTTGCCACCATGCTGGAAAAAAAGATGGCATTTAGAATGCACATTCTCAGCATATATCACATTATTTTGGTGACATACTGCAGTTCTTCTTATCCTACCTCCACCACAGTACCAAACATTAATTATATTTAATTCTTTTTGCCCTTTCAGACTCCGAGGTATATTTTAATAGAAGCTGGAGTTTTCATTCTTTTATTTTCCCTTTCTGTGGGTGCCAGAATGCCACGGGTATCCCATTTGGAAGTCTCAATACTAACTTCCTCAATGGAACAGCAGTGGAAAGCAGTGAAATAAAGATGCATCCATAGCATCTGGACAGATCAGGAAAATTCCCTATTGGTAAGAAACCTTACAAATAATGCAAAAGGACATATAGTTCAAATAACCTTTTGACAAGTTTAAGGAGTGCTTACATAGAGGTTGGACCCTAGATGAATTCTGCTTTACATACCATAACTTTTATTTGGCATGTAAAGAGTTAATTGCTTAAATCCTTGTGGGAAATTGCTCTATGCATCTAACTACAATTAATCACAGCACCTACTTTGTGGTACAATATAATGTGTGAACAATCCCAACAAAGAAAGAAACAAGCTAGAGGTAGTGAAAAGAAAAATGGAAAGCATTAGCTCTGTAGTCACTGATCCCATACAAGGGCATTCATGAACTTTCCTGCAACCTTATGCAAATTTGTTTCTCCATTTCATAAAGGGTACATGCAGAAAATTATGGCTCAGTTGCCTCTGTTCTCTATTTGATTGATTTTATAAATCACAAAAGAAGAAAATGCCCCATATCATACCGAGAACTCATTGAGTTGAGCTACAAGGTCAGTCATTTGGTCCCGAGTTTGGCGTAGCTCCAAGCCTTCTTTCTGCAGCTTGTCCTTCATTTTATTTAATGTCTTCATCATTTCATCTTTTTCCTGAGTCTTTATATCACATTCCCTTTCTTTCTTTTCTAGCCTGCTCATCAGCTCAGTGTGTTCTGTGAACAGCAGTGGGGACAAGATTGAAAAGTGATGGATGATTTCGGGCAATCTAGGTGACCTCAAAAGCCATGAATCATCCCCAGAAGAAACTATGTGTAAGGTGCATAACTGCAAACATCTGAAGGAGTTAACTGTCCTGGGAAGGAAGGGGGTTATACTAAGACTAGGAATGGCAGGTTATTACTGAAAGATGGTTTAGGTGAGAATCATCAGGTACCTTCTAACAATGAGTCTCTCAAATCTACATTAAGATTGCAGAGAAAAACTAGAAGCTTTATCAGTGTTTTGGATTTAAACTCCAGCTCACCCACAGACTCATTGGAAACCTTAGGCAACTCACAATCCTCCTGCATCTGTTCACCATCTGTAAAATGGCAACAACAATGACCTGTACAGTGCTGCAGTCTGAGACCTTATCCTCCCATCACCTTGGAAATCAATGGTTCAGTTAATCAATTAATGCCCCTGTATTATTCAAGAACCCTAGAAGGCCAAATACCTTTCCGGAATTTTTCTGCTTGATCCCTCCACTGCTTCACTTCATTCTCATTTACCAACCTAAGTGAACATACAGAGAGATCGTTTGAGATCCATTCCAAAACAATTAAATACAAAAATATTCCTATGACATCAGAAGAAAACAGAATGCTACAAATACAGGATTGGAATTCTCTGTGTGATTTGAATATAAACTGTACTACATGTAAATGAAAGTCTGAGATGATAAGGCAGGATAGAAAAGTTTTTTAAAAAATAAAACGAATAAGCTATTCCTTCTATAGATTATCTCCATGTAGAACAAATGTCACATATAAAGGAGTCCTTACATTTAGCACATTGTGTAGCTGAACTATAGTAGCAGTTAACAGGATTCTTACATCTTAATGATGTTCTTGACATTGAAGTTCTCCAAAGCAGCTATATCTGGATCATCACCTCGCTCATCCTGAAGAACAATTTGCTGAAGTATCCTGTCTAACAGCTGCCACTGTTGAAAATTTCCCCCATTTCGTTTATCTACAATGAAAAGTGGCAGTAAGGAAACTAAGAAAAGGACAATGGCTTTGCTAGTGATATAATTAAAGTCCTTGTTGGCTTTCTTTGGACTGACATAACAGTAAAGTTCCTTCAGCTTCTTAGATTCCGTCAGGTTTTTTTCATATTCTGTGTTGCCGACCTTTTTTTTTTTTCAGTGGTTATTGTACGTTTCAGTCATTTTGGATGGGGTGTTTTTGTGTTTTCTTGTGATTTTACTTTAATGGCTTATATTTCAACTTACGGAAAAAAGGGGGGGAAAACTGTGACATTTTAGTGCTTAATGATATATTCATAAATCATAATATACAATGACAAAAAATGAACAATATATAAAGTGAATGTAGACGGTGGTCTACAGAATGGTGTGCCGTTTCGACAACTATCTTCTTCTGAACAAGGATGTGTACATAAACTGTCTTTTAACAATTCATTTCTCTTGGTGACGTATTGAAAATATCACTGCTGATTCACTTCATCACAAAGCTATGCTTACAAGCTAGGTTCTTCAATGGGCTATAGTTGCTAAAGGAATCAGCAGTGATATTTTCTCCACTCATATATGTATTCATTCCTCCAGCAGAACATCCGAAAAGGGTTCATCTATCCGCCTTAACAAAGCTATCCTGGGAGATGCAGAGATATGACATAGGTCCCTAATGTATGTTTAGATTAACATGCAGTTTGTTCCCTATATTAGGATGAGATAAAAGATATCAAGGCCAATCTTATTTAGCTATACTTCCCCCTTTGTGCTGTATGCTCTGAAATCATAGTCTCCAGCAGTCAGTGGACCCAGATGGGGATGAAGTTGAGATCTATAGTAAAAATATGCCCTTCATTAAGTGGAAGTGCCTTTTGCAAGCTATGAAGGAGATTAGGATCTAAATCATAAAACTGGTCATTTTACCTTGTGTTGGAAATCTTTCATTGTATTTGGTTGGAAAGAAATAATTTGCAAATATACTTGAAATTTCCACATTGTCCAGTAAATTACTTATAATAAAAATAACATATAAATTCTTCAACAGATTTATGCCTGGTTCCACTGTGGTCAGTGTGCTTTTGTGACACAAGACCTAGTTCTGAACTATGGACCAGCTTTAGCTACTGTGGCTCACAAGGTGGCAAGTAAAATGGAATCCTACATATGGGAAGATGTAAGCAATCAGATTTTGCTGCTTCAGAACACAACAAAGACAAATCAGAGTGACAGCAATACTTCCTCCCTTTACTTGGACTGCCTAGAAGCAAAATATTCTTGGCTGTTACTGGATTATTAAATCAAATAGCTTTAATATCCCCAATTTGTATCATGTTCCTCGAAAAGAAACTGCTAATTTGATTTTCCAATTAGGGCCTGAGAACCTTCAGCTTATGCATTCCCATGAGGTGACAGCAAAATGTGAATTTTGTCCTTAATGATAACAACAGAGTTTTGCTTGATTGGTTTACAAAAATCCTTGTTCCATGTCAATTAAAAACAGCACCTGTTTCACGAGATCCCAGACCACAAGGATAAAGTTATTTTTTTCTTGTAAAAAAGTAATAATTTAATTAAAAATGGACTTTATTTCCAAATGGACAGCACTCAGCTATTCACTATTTAAATGCTATTTAAGGAAGAGCCATTTAAAGCTTGAGGACTTTAAATGGAAACAGAAAGCAGTGCAAGGAAAGCCAGTTGTCTGTCAACTCCAGCTCTGAGGTTAACTCAGTATTCGCATACCCACACCTTCTCTATAATTGTGTGAACATTGTAACGTTCACTGCCATTCTAAGCAGAGTTATACTCTTCTAACCCCATTGATTTCAATGGACATAGAAGGGTTTTACTTTGTCTAGGATTGCACTGTGTATGGCCAAATCATACAGGTTAGCACTTCCAGGAAGGTCACAACTATTACATGTTTTAAACCACTAATATATTTATTTTCTTTTTAAGCATTTCAGCGCAGCCAACCACTTCAACTGCAGGTCAGATCCACTGGATGGGTAGCAGTCTTCATTCTCAAGCCACAAAGTGTAAGACTATGGGATCTATCAAGGGACATTTAGGATACTTTCCTCAGTATGTGCTCAGCATGCATAGTTTTGGCATTATCAAACAGCTGTACATGTCTGTATACAATATATCCAGTCAACTTATGCCGCATTCACTTCTTCATTTTATGTAAGTTTCAATTGACTGTGCAATGCTCAAACAAGACACACAAGAAGAAAAAATCCAATACCAGGTCCAAGTGTCCAATCAGATCAAACACTAATAGACACAGGGGTTTGATTACAGGTAAGGGGAGCCTCACATGGCTGGAATTCCCCCTTTTTAAAGAAAAATCAACAATCATGGGAAAATTCCTATTCCTAACTCTGGTGTTTCATCTGTCTCAATAGTTTAGTGACCCTGGACCCTTTGCCTTTCTCCGTATCTGAACTGGCACCTTGGATGTGCTATGTTTTCAGGTGTCAAACTTTGCTACTGCTGTGCTTTGCCATAATTCTGGGGGGGAGGGCATTCCCTGAGGGTGGGGCGAGTGTGTGCGGGAGTGAATGAGACTTTTGCTTTTAGAAGATGTAACTTTTCCACAAGTCAAATCCCTTCTCCTCCCCTTTCCCTTTCCCAGGGGAAGGTGGCCTTGAACACATTCTTGTGCCATCTCAGACTCTAGATTACCAGGACATATATCTCTCCTGGTTGGCATGGCAATTAGGCAGAGTATGGCTGTGATATATGCTTGGGGGATGGATGGGGCCTGCCTGAATTTCCTATAATAAGACTGTACCCACCAAAAGTCTTTAGTTCTTACACAAGTGACTTTCTGGATCTTGCATATAAACTTTCACTACCTAAAGAGAATTGTTGAGTGTAACTGGACTGGGGGTCTGACATCAGGCAGGAAAACATAAATGCCTTCTTGCCCAGCACCATAGTCCTGATCCCCAGCCAGTTGTTGATAAAGAATGGGGGCATCCAACCACAGGTTTCTGACATCTCATCCACTTTAGCCTCCAACAACCTCTCTGCTTTTTAAGATTTTGCCATCCAAATGCAGGTATTCTTAAACTTATCTTCATAGTCATAACGGTTAGATATTCTTTTAAAGGGAAGAAGGAAAGAAAACAAGTTGAGATTCTATGAAGCTGAATTTTGTGCCCAGTATCAAAATTTGTTATTTTCCCCCTTGAGCTTGGTCAAAATCACACTATATAAACATACCTGGATATTATTCCCAAGTAAGGTAACGGAATATACAGTCTGGTGAAACTAACTGAATTGAACAGGCAATTTTAGGACTATGAAGATGATATACTCACAAGGCATTTGCAAGCAGTGCTGAAGGAAAGAGAGCAAATATGGATAAGCATCTGTGTGTTTCAGCCTTTTCTTGACCAGCTCAAACATATGTGAGGCACTTTTTGTGTCAATATGTACCTGTAACAAAACAGAAAGTGGGAAGAAAAAAACAAAAAAGTGTTAACAAAGGCAAGTTAAACAAAAGCAGTTTTTAAGTTGTCTTTAAAAAGGGTTCCAGAGGAGATCCGGGAAATTACAGGCCAGTCAGTCTGACGTCGATACCGGGTAAATTGGTGGAAACCATTATTAAGGAAAGAATTAGTAGTCACATAGATGAACAAAACCTATTGAGGCAGACTCAACATGGGTTCTGTAAGGGAAGATCTTGTCTCACTAACCTGTTAATGTTCTTTGAGGGGGTGAACAAACATGTGGACAAGGGGGATCCAATAGATATTGTTTACCTTGACTTCCAGAAAGCTTTTGATAAAGTTCCTCATCAAAGGCTCCTAAGCAAGCTCAAAAATCATGGGATAAAAGGACAAGTCCTTTTATGGATCAAAAACTGGCTAATTAATAGAAAACAGAGAGTGAGTATAAATGGGCAGTTCTCCCAGTGGAGGGGGGTAAGCAGTGGGGTACCACAGGGATCAGTACTTGGTCCACTGCTTTTTAACTTGTTCATTAATGATTTGGAGTTGGGAGTAAGCAGTGAAGTGGCTAAATTTGCGGATGATACGAAGTTGTTCAGGGTGGTGAAAACCAGTGAGGATTGTGAGGCACTCCAAAGGGATCTGTCAAAGATGGGCAAGTGGGCGTCAACATGGCAAATGGGGTTCAATGTGGCCAAGTGCAAGGTGATGCACATTGGAGCCAAAAATCCTAAATATAAATACACATTGATGGGGTCTGAACTGGCAGAGACAGATCAAGAGAGAGATCTTGGAGTTGTAGTAGATAACTCACTGAAAATGTCGAGACAGTGTGTGACTGCAATAAAGAAGGCCAATGCTATGCTGGGGATTATTAGGAAGGGTATTGTAAACAGATCAGCCAATATCATAATGCCGCTATATAAATCAATGGTGCGACCTCATCTGGAATACTGTGTGCAATTCTGGTCACCACACCTTAAAAAGGATATTATAGCTTTGGAAAAAGTGCAGAAAAGAGCAACTCGAATGATAAAAGGGTTGGAACACTTTCCCTATGAGGAAGGACGTCCTTCTTCACCCAAAGAGTGATTAACACTTGGAATTCACTGCCACAGGAAGTGGTGGTGGCTACAAGCATGGACGGCTTCAAAAGGGAATTAGATAAGCATATGGAGCAGAGGTCCATCAGTGGCTATTAGCCACAAGGTATAGATAGGGACTCTGGGGCAAGTGATGCTCTGTCATCTTGGTGCTTGGGGGGGTCAACAGTGGGATGGCTTCTAATGTCCTGGCCCCACTGGTGGACCTCCTGATGGCACTGGTATTTCTGGCCACTGTGTGATACAGAGTGTTGGACTGGATGGGCCTTTGGCCTGATCCAACATTGGCATCTCTTATGTTCTTATGTTCTTAAAAAGCATTTTAAATTTGCACTTTCCATTAAAAATGGAAGGTTTGTTTCACTTACCGTGACCCTCTCTTCTCTCTGGTCCAGGCAATCTGAACATGTGAGAAGTAGCCCCTCTCTGGAGGCAGACAGGGTTGCTGACAATTGTTTATTCCAATGGGGAGGGGCTTCTCTCCCAAGCTCCCAGGTTTCAAAGCAGTCCATCCCCCATTCACAAGTATTACAACAGACAAAACTCTGAACCAACAGCCAACCAAAAAAATCATCACATAGAACTGAGTGCAAAGAGATCAACCAATGAAGATCGAACAGAGGACCTACAGGGTACCTTATCAAAAGGTTGGATTCCCTAGCAGCATACCTTATGCAGGACATGGTCCACCCCTGGAACTCATCAGGCTCTTCCCCTGGAAGGAAAAAAGACTGCCCCACCATAAGACCACCAAGAAGGGTGATTCATGGTAATTGGTTGACACCTTCCTAGAGGCCACTAGGGTGTCCATAACCTTATCCAAGCAACCATGCTTTGAAACAGCTGGGTGGGAGGGAAGACATACAAGCAGCTGGTCTATCCAAGCACAGCTTAGAGTGTCTATTCCTATGGACTGGAGATATCTCCTTCTTGCGATGTACCTAGGTACATGATGGTTGAGTTCTGATGTGAAGAGGTCCACCTTTACTGTGCCAAATCTGTGGCAGATCTAGTGGAAGGTTTCCTTGTTCAGCATCCATTCTGACTGATCCAGGGATCGCCTGCTGAGCCAGTCCACCAATGTGTTGGACATTCCTGCCATGTGAACAGGTGGCCATAGGTGGCTCTGTGCCCACTGCAAGATCTGTGTCACCTCTGCATACAGAGAACTGGATTTCATACCCTTTTGATGGCTGATATAAGACTTGACAATCCATGTGCACTAGGACATCCTTCCTGACTAGGAGATCCTGGAAGGGTAAGAGAACCCACACGATCACTCTAAGTTCCAGAAAATTGATGATCTGAGTGGCCTCTTCATGGGTCCAGGACCCTTATGCTATTTTTCCTTGGGAGTGGGCTCCCCACACCAAAGGCTGGCATCCATAGTCAGAAGTGTCCTGTCCGGTTCTCTGAGAGGGGTCCCTTCTAGAAGTCTGGATGGGTACATCCACCACTGGAGATCCTGAAGCAGACTGTCTGGAAGCTTGATGATCCTGTGCCTTTTGTGGGCTATTACTTCCTGGAAGGGAAGAAGAAACTTCCGGAGAGGGCGAGTGTGGAATTTTGCTCATGAGATCACATCCTGGCATGATACTAGCAATCTCAGAAGTCTCACCAGGAGTATGACTTCCATGTGAGACGCCTGTGTAATCTCCTGTAGCAGAGAAAGAATCATCTCTCTTCTGTTTTAGGACAGGAAAACCTGATCCTGAACCAAGTCTATGACGACCGCTGGGTGCAAAGTAGACAGCTCTTCTCCATGTTGATAATGAAGCCATGGTCTTGCAGGCAGGAGAGAGTGCTTTACACCTCTTACACTCTCTGTTGATATGATGGGGACCTGATGAGAATGTCATTCAAGTATGGAAAAATAGAAATGCCCTGGGTACAAAGAGCCATGTGCAAGACTAGAATGCCCTTGGGGCAGTCTTGAGACTGAAGGGAATGCCCTGATCTAGGAAATGATTCCCACTGTAGGAGAAGCAGAGGAATCTCCGGTGAGAATCCTGAATCAGAATATGAAAATTAGTCTCTGACAGATCTACTGATGCCAGAAAATCCTTTTTACGGATTGAGAAAATTATAGATTTGAGAGTTTCCATCTGCAACTTTTTTTCTTGATCCTGCAATTCAGCCACTTTAAGTATAAAATGGCTCTCATGTTTACAGTCTTCTTTGGAACAGCGAATAAAATTGAGTAGACCCCTGATGACTTTTGGTCTTCTGGGACCGGTTCTATTGCTCCAATGTCCAAAAGATGTTGGACAGCTTGAAGAAGGAGAAGGTGTTTCTTTGGGCACTGATTTGTCAGGACTTGGATGAATCTGTTGTGAGGAAGGGTTCACAGTTCCAGAGAGTAGCCGTGTGTGACTGTGTCCAGTACCCACCAGTCGCTGACAGCCAACTTCCAACTTTCCGCAAAAAACTGAAGCTGACATCCAATGTTTGGTGGCACTGGTCAGCTGTTGATATCATGCAGAATAACTCTTTTTTGCTCCTCACAAGCCCTGGTTGGTTGTTCTATAGAAAAAGGAACTGGAGGTGACTCCTGGGAGACTTAGATAGCTGAAAGCTAGTGTTGCATTTAGGATCACAAAAGGAATGGAAGCATTTCTTGGGTTTCCCTTCCTTTTTGTGCGCGGGTAAAGCCGTCTTTTTGTCTTTATCTTCTATCAGATATCTATCCATGCCATCCCCCCCAAACCAGATGCGTTTAGAAAGCCACTTGAACCTGAGAAGTAGGGTCAACTTCCCAGTTGCATATCCAGGTGGTACATCCAGCTGTAACACTGGATGCCATAGCCCTGGCTGACAATTGGACTGCATTGAGGGATGCATCCTCAGAGAAGGCTGCCAGTAGGGCAATCTTCTTTAGCTCATCTTTATGCTCTTCAGGAATGTCATTGCCGAAAGATCTGAGGCTCAGGAATAGACTGCCCTGGGAAAAAGGGAACTCACCATGGAAGCCCTCAAGGCAGCTGAAGAAGCTTCAAATTCTTGCACAAAGACTGATCTATCCTTCTATCACAAGGGTCCCTAGAGAGGCCATCTGACTCTGCTGGAATGACCATGTTTGAACACAGGCTGGCAACTGGTGCATCCCCTACTGGAATTTTAAAGTGCTCTCCTGCCTCAGGCATCAACAAGTAGACATATGAAATGATCTGATGGTTGGCCTTGGTCTTCTCTGGAGCTTCCCACTCAGATCTGACCACCCTGACAGTTTGGTGTAGTAGTTAAGTGTGCGGACTCTAATCTGGGAGAACCGGGTTTGATTCCCCACTCCTCCACTTGCACCTGCTTGATGATCTTAGGGAAGCCATAGTTCTGGCACAGCTGTTCTTGAAAAAGAGCAGTTTCTGTCAGAGCTCTCTCAGCTCCACCTACCTCACAGGGTGTCTGTTGTGGGGAGGGGAAGGAGTTTGTAAGCTGCTCTGAGACTCCTTTAGGTTGTGAAGGGCGGGGTATAAATCCAATCTCTTCTTCTTCCTCTTCTTGACAGAGACAGATGGGAAAGGAATCCCAAGGGATAGAGATCTCCCTTGTGAGAAGTCCCTGGCCAAGCCAGATCATCTGGATGGGTCAGGCTCCTCTACTTCCTTCTTGCTATAAGTGATCTCCAGGATGCATAGGGCCTTAAGAAGACGCTTTCGAGAAATTTTCCTGCTTGGCTAGATGAGTCTGCATGGTTCTTCCTCATCTGAAAGTTCTCCCTCCTTTCTTGGGGAGGAAGAATCTGAGAAGTCAGAATAATCAGGTGCATGACCCATTAAGAGTCTTAGGTTCCTAGATGAATGCCTAGAAGGCGTAGCCTCTTTGCATCTTTTTGAGAGAAGGGGAGAAGAAGGTTCCCTGCTTTCCTGCCTTTTCCTAAATCCAGAACTGGAGGGTGAGTGGGATCTAATCCTAGTAGAAGACCTAGCAGAATGTCAAAGGATGGAAATAGCCTCTGATAGGGAGGCTTTGATCTCCTTTTGCACTTCCCCCTTAATCCAGGCTAACAAATTAGAATGTGCATTATCTCCCAAGAGATCCAGGGCAGAAGCTTCTGTCACCTCTGATCCATGGGAGGAACCATGGGCTGAGGAAGAGGAGAGGGAAGAAGGATTGTTGAGGCCTAAATTCCTCCTGTGGTGCATGGTCATATAGGCCCAAGCAAGTTGCCATTATGGAAAATTCCACGTTTTTTTTAAATTATATATACATGGGGGGGCCCTGGATCACAGCCTCTTAATGGCCATCGAGGGGACTGAGGTGGTGGCGAATTGGTACAGAGGCTCCCACTGTGACAGCTACTGATGCTCCATAGACCTTTGGAGCAATTGGGGATGCTACTGGCCCAAAGGCTGGAATCCCCATGGCTTTTCTCTCCTCACATGGAGGACTGGAGATGAAGGGGGGCTGTCTCACCTAGGCGAAATCCCTCACCAACCTGCCATGAAGGACAATTCTGTTCCCCTTGTAAATGGTCCTCTTCTGCTCCTGTGGAGGACCAGCAGTGAGGGTGGGAATCTCCCTGACGCACGTTTCTCCCCAGCTAGCTGCAGGAGGTGGCTGTCTCCCTGCTACTGCCATCTCGAATGCACAGAAGGGTGTGAGAGTAAGAGGGAGGGAGGCTCAACAATGATAAAAAGGGAAAGAAAAGGGAAAAAAGGTTGTCAGTAATAAAATCATGGCGCTCTTACAAGAGCGCAGCCAGAAACCCCTAACTGCTCTACAGGCAGGGCCGAGGCTGGAAGCTTGGGAGAGAAGCCCACATGCCTACGTAGTCAAAAATCATCAACCACCCTGCCTGCCTCCAAGGAGGCACTACTTCCACATGTTCAGACTGCCCCATCCTGGACCACTGGAGAACTGAATGTACACTGAGGAAAACCCCATCTTTCACAAGCAAGAAAAAGGAACACAATTCACATCATTATATTAAAAAGCCTGCTGTCTATTACACACACGCCCCTTTTTGCAACTGTAAAAAGGACGGTGACAAGGAACCAGGCCTTTTCAGCAATGGCAACTTTGCTTCTGAACTCTTCCTCCTAGAGAAATTCATCAGGTAAGCTCTCAGGTTAATTTTAGGAAACGGGTAAATACCTTCCTTTTAAAGAGAGTCTTAGGGGAATAGTTGTGTTTTCTAGTTACATAAGCCTATGACCATTTTTAAGCTTGTTGTTTTAAACTGTAATCATTTCTTCATGGTATTTGATATTGTGGTACTGTTATAAGCTACCCTGATGACTCTTGTGGTCATATAACAAGATATAAATGTAATAAATAAAACAAAATGTGTATATAAAGGAAGAAACCATGGAAGCAGGGTTCATGACTCACTTTTTTTCTCAGCCACACCATATTTATATAAGGAGGAACCACAAGATTGATCTGACCAGACTGTTTCTTCAATACACACATTCTTAGAATAGTGAAGGATCACACAAGAGGGAGCCAGTTTCCACATCACTTTGGGTACATGTGAATCAGTCATGAATGGAGCCATAGTATAAATATTCATCTATATGTCCTCAAGTAACACAAAAAATTAAGAGATTTACATGCATGTGTGAACTGACCCTTTACCCTTTTGCTGCTGAGTCACTTTGCTGCAGTTATTCTATGCTATTTACTTCTTTAGCACATTACTTTCTAGAGCATCACTTATTACCTTTAGCCTCCTACAGTCTCTGAATTGCTTGGGAAGCCAGGGTATTCAAAGCTCATTAACCTTAATACAGTTTCCATTGCCTTGTCTTCTTTGGATCCCTAACATCAACTCTATACAAAGTAATCTTAGAAAAGGTCACAGCCTATTTAAAAGCAGCAAATGGTAGTTCATACAAACAGGCCTAGTAGTGCCTGAAATGGTTAAACTATCACTGGATGTGACTTTAGTTTACTGAACATTCCAAAATTCGTCAAGCCTAGGCTTCCTATTAAAGGGGGTATTCCCTTAGGAGACCAAGAGCCAATCTGGGAAATCTACCTGCTTGCCTCAGAGAACAGGGAGCTGTCCATTGGGATCCTAGAACTGATGGTGCTGAATCCGGCAGCAGCCCTGAACTCTTGACAGGGTTACAGGCTGGAATCCTATACCACAGACAGAAAAACTGGAGCAATGTCATTCTGGGAACTCTGGCCTATAACCCCAAAGGTACACTTACTTTAGCCCATAACAGACCATCCCCAAACTCTAGGTTAATAAATATCTCAATACTGTTTGAGGAAAAACATGGACACAGGGCTCCAGAATCTAGGCAGATACTAGATCCAAGATACAGGCAGAGTGCAAAAATCTGGGTACTATTGCACAGAATAGGATCAACCTGAAGACACAAGCCAGAAGCCTGAAATGTTCAAGTGCACTTGGATTCTCCAAGAGTCTTGCATACAGCTAATTAGTTTACAAACTAATTGACAAGTAACAGCTAATACTAAATAGAGATGCTCAAGTGTTTGCCAGTTCAGCTCATGTTTCATGCATATGAACAGGGAGTCAGTTGTTCAGGAAGCAGTTTGGGTTGCTCTCAAGCTGCTCAAGGCTGTTTGCTGTGTTACTGTAGGCAGGCATATACAGTACACACAGACACCCAATACTACCTAGTACTCATATTTGCGATAAATCTTGCTACACAATCACTGTCTCATAGAAGAGTCCTCCTCCTCCTCCTATTCACTACTTCAACTGGGTAGCAACATCAAAGGTGAGATTAACCCATTCAAGATTCAATAGATTAGTTATCAAGAACAGTATGTTCACTGCAAAATTCTCAGCAAGCCTAGTACTGAGGCACTTTAAGTCATTAATGCCACAGAGGCCGAGCTGAGAGACCTAATGCTGTCTAAATTCACACAGTGTCACCAATTTAGTCCTCGCTAATTCCTATACTTTAATTTAAAATAGATATCATTCCTCTTTAAAGTGGAAAAATAGGGTCCTTGCCACACAGAAAATTCATAGAGATTTACACCCAATCAAAGAAACAGGCAAAAGAAGCCTTTCTAGAATAGACACTCACCACATCAAATCTCTTTGCAAGTTCCAGGTCGTCTTCATTTCTGACCATCTCAAAGAAATCTAAGTGCCTAAAAGAAAGAAAAAATGACAAATCCATCTCTAATTTAGAGTGGTGCTAACTGGATTACGGGCATAAATCTTTTCTCTACTGAACAGTGGGATAATGACAGGTGAAGAGACCCATTCATGAGACGCATTTGAGTTGATCAGCTTCTGAGGATTTGACTTTCACAAAGTTAGTCCTCCCACAGGATTAAATGATGAAAGTGCTGACAAAAATAACCTAAAACAGATGGATCAAGATGGGTAGCCATGTTAGTCTGTCTCTAGCAGTAGAAAAGAGTCCCGTTAAAGACTAACAAAATTTGTGGTAGGGTATGAACTTTCGTGACTCACTGCTCACGTCTTCAGATACAGCTAGAATGGGAGTCCATCTGTCCTATATATCAGAAAGAAGTGATTTCAGATGCCAAATGACATTAGCAGGCAAATAGCAATAGAAGGTGTGATTGTATTAGGTGTGATATGCAGAGAGGTATTAGGCATGGGAAAAAATCAACATTAAAGAAGAAGAGTTGGATTTATACCCCGCCCTTCACTCAGAGTCTCAGAGAAGTTTACAAGCTCCTTCCCTTCCTCTCCCCACAACAGATACCCTATGAGGTAGGCAGGGCTGAGAGAGCTCTGACAGAACTGCTCTTGAGAGAACAGTTCTGAGAGAACTGTAACTGAACCAAGGTCACCCAGCTGGCTGCATGTGGAGGAGTGGGGAATCAAACCCAGTTCTCCAGCTTAGAGCCCACCACTCTTAACCACTACACTAAACTTGCTCTCCAATTGGTAATGAGACAGGAAACCTAGGTCTTGATTCAGTCCGGGGGATGCATTGTCTTGAGGTTCATTATCAGTTGCAATTCAGCAGTCTCTCTTTCTAATCTCCCTTTGAAATTTCTTTTGTAAGATAACTGCTACTTTTAGGTCAGCAACTGTATGTCCTGGAAGGTTAAAATGTTCCCCCACTGGTTTATGAATGTTGTGGTTTCTGATGTCAGACTTATGTCTGTTAATAAGTGGACCCAGCAACATCAGCCAGACCATCTCAGGTGTCAGCAGTGTCAGCAGTGCCTTTCCACCCTCTACACTGGACAAACAGGACAGTCCCTTACACACACCCTACCACATATTTTGTTAGTCTTTAAGGTGCTACTACTGGACTCTTGCTCTTTTCCACTAAAACAGACAATGAAATAGATATTATCTCAACAGAGGATAAGTGTTGCTGCAGAAGTTCAGAATTATCTAGTGTGGAATAATATTCATCCAGCCCATAATACATGGCTGTATATTATGAATCAGGAGGCTATTGTCATCTCACTGAGCATGTGTAACAGCATTCTGCAAATGTGCTTGCTCTTCCCCATCCAGATTATAAGCTTATCTCTTGTTCCCATATACAGTAGTTTTCAGAGGACTGGTGTATTTCACGTGACCCGCTATCATCACTTGTATTGAAAACATAAGGTACAAAAGTTTAGATACAAAATAACATAGATATAAAATTAGGAGCAAAGAAATGAGTTGGGTACCACTGAGAATCCCTTTGAAAATATCACCATAGGCATCAATAGATAATAAACATTGGAGGAAGTGTAGACAGCTGAGGGTGCCTGTGTGCAGGACATTTTGGAGTGAGAGGAATCAAATACATTTCCTTAAGCACTGAAGCCATGCAGTGCACAGCTCATGTTGACCCCTCCTCATTCAACTTCTGGCAGTTCAAAGTGTGATGTCAATACATGAGGTCTCAAATCATGTGTATCTTCCCAATAGATGCTTCTCACCTGTCTAGTGTTGCATTCTCATGTCCCCTTAGCTTGTCGATAACAGGTTGGATACCCAACATTAGGAATTCATATCGTAAGTGCAATCGGAATTCCAAATTTTCCTGAGGGAGAGAAAAATAAATCAGTCCATTAGGGTCTGAGTCCTTTGTAGCACTTCAAAACAGCTTTGGGGAAGCTCAAAGGCAAAAAAAAAAAAAAAGCAAAGACTTTGAACTGAAGGATTGAGGTTAAGTTATCAGCATCCTAAGCTGTAATAATGGGGGGAATTCACTACCTGAGACCTTGAGGAGTTATTGCTAATCTGAATAAGAACATAAGAGAAGCCATATTGGACCAGACCCATGGCCCATCCAGTCCAATACTCTTGTGTCACACAGTGGCCAAAACCCAGGTGCCACCAGAAAGTCCACTAGCGGGGCCAGAACTCCTAGTGTTGCCCCCAAGCACCAAGAATACAGAATATCACTGCCCCAGACATAGTGCTCCATCTATACCTTGTGGCTAAGAGACACTGATGGACTTCTGCCCCTCTTGAAGCTGTCTATGCTTGTAGCCACCACTGCTTCTTGCCGCAGTGAATTCCATGTGTTAATTACTCTTTGAGTAAGAGTCCAGTAGTACCTTAAAGAATAACAGAATTTATGGTAGGGTATGAGCTTTCGTGAATCACTGCTAATTTCTTCAGATACAGTGAGCAGTGACTCACGAAAGCTCATACCCTACCACAAATTTTGTTAGTCTTTAAGGTGCTACTGGACTCTTACTCTTTTCTACTGCAATAGACAGACTACCCATCTTGATCTTATTCTCTGGGTGAAGAAGTACTTCCTTTTATCTGTTCTAAGCTTACTGCTCATTAATTTCATTGAGTGTCCATGAGTTCTTGTATTGTGAGAAAGGGAGAAAAGTACTTCTTTTCTCTACCTTCTCTGTGTCATGTATAATTTTGTAAACTTCTATCATGTCACCCCTCAATTGCTGTTTCTCCAAGCTAAAGAGCCCAAACTTCTTTAAATAAGCTACATTGCACTAGATGGATCTGTGGTCTGATATGGTGTAAAGGCAGATCTTGATTTAACATTTAAATAGCTGCTCTACTTTAGTGATGTTGTTGGGATTAAACCAATACTGGGGTGGGATGGAGAGGACAATGCAGTATAGACCTTGGGGGCCAAAAGATTCATCCCCTTCAGAAGTCATTAGATTAGTGATTTGTTAATAATTTCAAGTATAAACAGAACATGCATAAAAACCCAAAACAATAACTGCATGAAAGATTCTAGCAGAGATACTCACCTCACCAGTGCCAGCATTCAAAACAGCATTAATAAAAGACATGATAGCAGTTTTGAGATTCACCTCATCTCGATAGCGGCCCATGCTTCTGTCTAGCTCATTGAGCAATGACTGCAAAGCAATAAGAGTAAGAGTCACACAAAGTACCATAGTAATATTGTCTCTTCATTACAGACCACATGAAAAATTGTTAACATCAAGTGCTTAGCATGTCAACAAAGATGATAACGGCTGTGCAAAAGGCTCATGCATTAACCTAGCCCTTTAAGACTGGGGAAAGGGGGAGAGTGAGTTTGCCTATAATGCACAAGCAATTGGCTACACCGGTGTTTGTCTAGAGACAATTGTCCAGTCCCCCCATCTGGCCATCCTCCAGCCTCACCATTTTAATACAGTAGAGCTTCATAATGTAATCCTTCTAACTGGTAGGTTAACCAACTGAAATTTAGCTAGATTACCCATTACAGATCAATTTTTACTTATGCAGGCAAATTTTGAGTGATGAGTTACTAGCATGCCTGTTCCTCTTTTAAGGCCATTGCAATTTCAACGGTTTACTAGAAGAAATAAAAAAACAAGAAAATATCAAAAACGGGCCTTTCTTTCTAACAATAACACAGTTTAGATGTAATGAAAATCCCTTGCGGATTTGTTATTACAACCAGGAGCCTGCAGGATCCATGGGCTCTGAAAATTAAACACTTCTGCATTCACAACAAATCATGGTTTCTCATTTTATATAAGCCACAAAATACAATTTGTTCTCCCTTTGGAAATACAGTTTGAAGGCAAGAAAGCAAACCGCAGTTTGTGGTTCAGAGGAAACAATAAAGTATGGTATGCTGGTTTCACTAGTTACTGCTTTTTTGAACAGGTCACATTTGTTTTTTGTTTGGTTTCTTATATACATTTGGGTTCTGCATAGAAATGTGACAGAAGTTCTGCTACGTCTTGCATTTCATGGGGTTTTTTGGACTCTCTAAAAAAACCCAAACTCTTATACACACACTTGCATATATCTGTCTCCCAGTTAAAGTTGACATTCATGAATCTGATAAAGTGGGCCCATCGAAGTTTATACTCTACAATAAAATTGTTAACCACAACTTTGCAGCTGATATACTGGTTTCTATAAAGGTAACAGGGTATCAGCTACATCTTCTATTTAGAGAAGCCAGCTGGCAGGTTAAATAGCATCACTCCGTATGCATCCTCTTGCAAAGGAGTCGGATCAGATTAGGACAGTTCACGAATCCTTAAAATAATAAACCCAAAAATCCAAACAGTAAATTGTACTACTTTTACTTTTCACCATTTTCAGTAACTGGGATGATTACTGTTGATGTACAGCATGTTTCTTCAAAGTCAAGTTGACTTGGAGAAGCAGGAGGACTAAATCAAATTACTGATAGTAGAAAGTCAGCTACTTTCTCTAAACATCTCAGAGGGAAGAGAGATGTTGTGTAAGGATTTTTTTTCCTCTGCTTAAATTTCTTCACCCTTGCTACTGGCAATCTCCAAGTTAATGACAATGGTATTCTAAGAAGACACTGGTCTGTCTGTTGAACATATCGCCAGGACCCTGATATTACTGAGATTCCCACTGTTTTAGAGAGGCTTTCTCATACTATAACTTTGACCCTTCCCCTCTGGACTATTCTAAGAACCAGAAAAACTCTGCTGGATTAGATTTATGGTCCATTTAGTCCAGTGCCTGACAGTGGCAAACCAAATACTTCCAAGGTTACAAGCAGAACACAGAGGCAGCATCTCTCTCCCACTGTGTGTCTCCAGCACCAAAAGCAGTCTGCTTGTGAAAATGGACACTTCCATTTGTCTATCATGGCTAACAGCTGCTGATAGCTTTAAAAGGTTAAGACAAGCTCATGCAATCTCTGCAAAATAGTGGCTATCACACCATTCTCATAATAATGAAATCCATAAAATAATTACACTTTTTTGGTGAAAAAATAACTTTTATTTCCATCTTGACTCTGCTGCCAGTCCGATTCACAGGGTGACCCCCCTGAGTTGCAGCACTTATCCATCCCTTCTTCCAAGGAGTTCAGGCATACATGAATCTCCTTTCCTCCACACCTTACACAGGCCTCCATGAGAGGGGCCTGCAACCTATAGCTCCAGAGCCAAATGTGGCTCAGTACAGAACCAAATATGTTTCTTCAAAGAAGAAAATGAAATGTTAAATTAAGATATACCGGATTGGTAAGTGAGATACTAGAAAAATCAATATGTGAAGGTACTGGCAGGCTGCTGCTATTATTATTATTATTATTATTATTATTATTACTACTACTACTACTACTACTACTCCTACTACTACTACTACAACAACAACAACCGAGAGCCAGTTTGGTGTAGTGGTTAAGTGTGCGGACTCTAAGCTGGGAGAAGTGGATTTGATTCCCCACTCCTCCACATGCAGCTGCTGGTGTGACCTTGGGTCAGTTATAAGTTCTTTCAGAGCTGTTCTCTCAAGGACAGTTCTCCCAGAGCTCTCTCAGCCCCACCTACCTCACAGGGTGTCTGTTGTGGGGAGGGGAAGGGAAAAGGATTGTAAACCACTCTGAGACTCCTTTGGGTAGTGAAGGGCGGGGTATAAATCCAATCTCCTCATCTTCTTCTTCTTCTACTACTATTATTACTATTATTTTGTCATCAAGTCAAGCTGACTTCTGGCTTGAAGGCAAGGGATGTTCAGAGCCGGGAATTAGCTTTTATGGAAGTGGAAGAACCATGTAGGCCATCATGAGTTCTTTTGACATAGGGTGTAATACAAATGTGGGGGGAAAGTCTTTCAAACAGTAAAATTATGACACCACTTTGAGCTGTTCAAGGACACACTAGCACATTCTCTTTAACACATTTCACTTCCACACAACTTCAGATTTCATCTCTAAGCCTGTTCCGCAAACTGAATGTTACTTCTATATTCCTCAGTGGGCAACTAGGAATAAGACTGAGCTTTGTATTCACTGCCATCTGAAACTCCTCTGAACCAAGTCATTTGGTCTTTAACCAAATTCAATATTTTTCCATTAGATGCAAGTTGTCATTCCTTCTTGGTTGTTTAAGAATAAAAGAGGAGAAAGTACTTCAAACACTGCCATTCAAATAAAAGTAACTGATTCAGCAAGCTGCAGGAACAGCAAGAGTGAGCCTGAAAGCCAATAATCTTCCCGTAGACTCAGTAAAAAGTTTCCACTCTTGTGGGAGACAATTCCATGACTATGGACCAACCTCCCTGAGGAAAATTTGCAAAATTTGTGGACAGAATATAGCTGTGATTCTCTACCTAGTACACTGACTGGTTTTCCAGTGCCATTCCAAAAGCCTGAATGTAAGAGTTCTGAACCTCAGATGCTATAAAGTTATCCTGATTCTGACCTGTTTGAACAGGAACTTCAGCACACAGTCCCCTTGAATTAATAAATATGATTTGTGGGAAGTAGAACTGTACTCAGGACAAGTGTGCAGTACATTTGAGAAGAAATGATGGCGAGGGAGCAGCCTCTAAGAGCTTAGCCTCACGTACACACACCTTCGTCTCCATAAGGTACAAATTTGCAATACCGTATCACTTTTGGAAAAACAAAAGCAGTTAGAAGGCTCTTGCACCAGCATGAGCTGACTGTAGATGGGCTTCAAAATACTGTTTCAGTCAATCACCAGAACCATTAGCCAGTAAGAAAAACATGTGGACTGATGTCTTAGCAATGCTTTCCTTTTGTTTCTTGGGAGCATTGTGCTCTCCCTTCTACCACCACTCCCACGTTCTGAGAGAAGCAACACACAAGCCGAAGCTTAAAATATAAAGACTATATAGGACTGCCTAATTTTTCTCCCTATATAGAGCATATTATATGAAGTATTTCCTGCATGGAGAATATGGAAAGGTCTATAGCTCATACATAACGGTCATAAATTCAGTACTGCCATCTCTAATTGTGAGGATACCGGATCGCATGGCTGGGACAATCTCTGAGACTTTGAGGATCTACCACCAGACAGAACAGACGATACCAGATGACACCAAATCAGTGTCCGGCCTCTGTATAAAACAGTTCCATGTAATCAGTTTAAGAAACATGTACACCTTACTGTCTGAAGTGTCGTCCACAAAAGGGCACAGACGATCCCACAGTAAAAGATAGGAAATGGAGAGAGGAATTAGGGATGTGAAATCATAATTTCCAAACATGCACAATGAGAATGCATGAAATTCTGTAGAAATGTGGAGAATTCAAAAAGCAATTTCAGCCTTCGGTGAAGATGCCTTCACAGTATTATCATCATTATTCATGATGTGCAAGTGAAAAATCAGCCAGGGTTTGCTTTGGTTTGGAATGAAATTTCTTGCAACCAAGATGGATTGAGTTGCTCGGTAGTGGACAAAACCATCCTTCCTTACTTTGTAGATCCTATTTTGTCTTCTAATTTGACAGCTTCAAATACCCTTGGGCACTCACACACCGGCTTTCAAAACAGCTTGTAGTCACTTTCACACTGCTCATGTCACTTTCATATTGCTCATGTAAGAAGGCAGAGTTCCTAGATTTCCATAAAACCAACACACAATTTCATCTTTACTCATGAAAGCCAACAAAGCCAAAACAATTTACTTCCACTTCTGCTATTTCAGCAGAGAGTTTGCTTGTTATTAATTTTCACAATTGAGGAAGAATGTTGTTAATATTTTTTGCTATCAGTGGCAGATATACATTGTAGAATTCTTGGGCTGATATTTGAGGCTGAGACAATATGGGGCAGGCGGTGGAAAACATGTTTACTGATTGGAATCAGCTTCAGTCTGCAAGATTTCAAAACCCTTCAGAATCTTTGCTGGGTGAATCTAGATGATATTGTTCAGATGACAGGAGGCATTTCCTCTGAGATGAGTGAGATGTTCCAGGTATTTACACAACCTGACCTACAACAGTCAGATCTCAAAAACCAGGGGGATGACTACACTCATGAGAAAGTGTGTGCCTTGGGATTTTATACAGGGATAATTCTCTACCTAGTACACTGACTGTTTTTCCAGTGCCATTCCAAAACCCTGTATGTAAGAGTTCTGAACCTCAGATGCTATA